TAAAAACTTAACGGTTTATTATGTAAGGTCTTTATGCACCTCTGAAAACATGGTTATGTATATTATATTGCATTTCTGTCAATAGATCCTCCTAAATATTACAAACTGAACCTTTAACCAAACAGAGGTGTGTTAATATCAAAACCAGGCAAGACCGCCTGTGATCTACAGAAACATTACAGTATTCAACACAGACAGAAAAGTATTATTGGGCAGCTGCAACTTCATGTGTTTGAGTGTTCTAATTGAATAATTTTACACATACATATGCTTTGGTTAATGACTTGCAACTGGACATTTTTATGCCCTGTTTCCATTAAAAACGATGTATTTGGTGTGATTTTGGCGACTGTGCTATTGTAATTTCCATTCTTAGCATTGATAGACCAGCAAAACATGCTTATTGACATGTTTTTTGACTTGCCCTCTGAAGATTTGGACTTGGTCCAAAAGACCTCTCTGTTCAAATGGTCATCCATCAAAATACATCCAATGATTTTCTCAGCCTGTTAGCTTTGCTTTGTTGCTGTCAGGAGGGAGTTTCTCACACTTAACACCTTTCAACAATCTTTGTTGATCCAGCAAAACTTTTCTTCTCTGCGTTTGTACAATTATTTTATTGCCTCTGCAAGTTTCTCCAGTTTTGTGGTTTTTGTTGAAGCTTCCGACATTGATTCTGTCCATGGAAATGCTCATATTGCACACATTTGAAGACTGCTGTTTGGCTGTTTTCCTTCTTCAGCATGAAAAAATGTCCATAAAGCCAACTTGATGATGGCATCCAGATGTTCTCACTTGACTGGCTGCTGTCGTGATGCTGCTACAAAGTATGGGTATACAACTAGTTGCATGACATTTCATAACATATTTTTTATGATATGAAATGTGTGGAGCAAAATAGGCAACAAAGGTTCCTAGACAGATTCTAACCAGGGACACTGAAGTTATGTGATAATAATCTTAGATTAAGCTCAGTCTCCCTAGGAAGTCTATTTTACAAGATTCCTCGCTTCATGACTTATGTCCAGTGCCAGCATTCAGTGCCAATGCAGACGTAAAGTACCCTTTATGTGGTGAAGCCAAAACTGAGATAGTGGAGGTTTGGGTGGTGGATGATGTTTATGCAGCATCCCATGACCTTCAAAAAATGTTGTGTAAATGTATTTGTAAATGTTGTGTAAATGTAAAAATGTATTTTTTTTAATCTTCACAATAATGTTTACCTAGTCTTAACCAGGGTTTATTTACCTTCCCCACCCTTACTCATACCATAGCTGCCATACGCAGAAGGCTCAAATTTTTCTCAGTGTTTTTGCTAGTATCAGGTGAATACTGAGTATTGGATTGGAGCGTTACTAGCTAGCTTACATGCAACAGCAGAGCAATTTCCTCGGTAGGAAACAGACATGCAGCAAAATGGTTTAAGAGTCAAAAGTTCAGCCTGCCCCTGTGGTTGTCACGCAGAGCTGGGATGTGTATGAACATTTTGGTGTCAGTGCTCAGGATGGGTGTGTGCATGTGTGTTGCAGTGGGTGATGTTGGGGTTGGGTGTTTCAATGTTATCAGTGGTATTTATGTCACTAGCAGACGGGCTCGGTCGAGGTGAGATAGACGTTAAAGGAGCGCAGTCAGGCTTGCGGCCAAGCGCTGTCAGCCTAATACCAGCGAGCAGTCCAGGAGGAGCAGTCGCAGCATCTGGATAGTCAAGCTCCATTAGCCTCTCGGCTCTGTTTTACCCCAGCTGCATTACAGCCTTGTTGACAAATGGCAGAAGAGGTGCTGCGTGTGATATGAATCACATAACTCAGGGGACCTCCACCATGAAAATACCCCCTTACTCCCTGATCTTTCCCCTTCCCCTTCCCTCCCTCTTGTCTGGGCTTGCTGTGAACTGTAGCAGTAGACTGGCTGGGATTCAGTGGGACAGCATTAGCTCTCAACCTTGGTGAAGGACTAAATGCAGCCTCAGTCTGGTGTCCTTGCTGTCACACTGCTGCTGGGAGAAGATAAGCACTTCAGCTTTTAGTACACGCCGTAAGGCCCCATTGGCAGCACTGTGAGCTGCGTAATTGCAGAAGCACTGCAAATAATTAATTAAGCAAGATGTAATATCTGACGCGCCACACACGAATCTGTGATGTCGAGGGGCGGTCGTTTTGTGGGATTTTAGTATGATACTCCACATTTGTTTCCAGTATTTGCAAAAGCAGATTCGTCGGCTGATATAAGGACTTAGCAATTATATATATGCATCACCCTGAAAGGTGAGTGTTGCAGCTATAACCTTTACAATGCTATGTAAAGATGCACATCTGAAAAGAAGAAGTAATTTTATTCAGCAGTGGAGGTGGTTACATTTCATATGCTATATTGTAAGTCTTCCCCCCCCCCTTCTTCTTCTCATATGACGCATCACAGGAATGAAATCCAGCCGATTTTGAAGAGTGTGATATTGCCTCTCATATACAGTGAGGAAAATAAGTATTTGAACACCCTGCTATTTTGCAAGTTCTCCCACTTAGAAATCATGGAGGGGTCTGAAATTGTCATCGTAGGTGCATGTCCACTGTGAGAGACGTAATCTAAAAAAAAAAAAAAGCCAGAAATCACAATGTATGATTTTTTAACTATTTATTTGTATGATACAGCTGCAAATAAGTATTTGAACACCTGAGAAAATCAATGTTAATATTTGGTACAGTAGCCTTTGTTTGCAATTACAGAGGTCAAACGTTTCCTGTAGTTTTTCCACCAGGTTTGCAGGAGGGATTTTGGCCCACTCCTCCACACAGATCTTCTCTAGATCAGTCAGGTTTCTGGGCTGTCGCTGAGAAACACGGAGTTTGAGCTCCCTCCAAAGATTCTCTATTGGTTTTAGGTCTGGAGACTGGCTAGGCCACGCCAGAACCTTGATATGCTTCATACAGAGCCACTCCTTGGTTATCCTGGCTGTGTGCTTCGGGTCATTGTCATGTTGGAAGACCCGGCCTCGACCCATCTTCAATGCTCTAACTGAGGGAAGGAGGTTGTTCCCCAAAATCTCACAATACATGGCCCCGGCCATCCTCTCCTTAATACAGTGCAGTCGCCCTGTCCCATGTGCAGAAAAACACCCCCAAAGCATGATGCTACCACCCCCATGCTTCACAGTAGGGATGGTGTTCTTGGGATGGTACTCATCATTCTTCTTCCTCCAAACACGGTTAGTGGAATTATGACCAAAAACTTCTATTTTGGTCTCATCTGACCACATGACTTTCTCCCTTGACTCCTCTGGATCATCCAAATGGTCATTGGCAAACTGAAGACGGGCCTTGACGTGCTGGTTTAAGCAGGGGAACCTTTCAAACCATGACGTCTTAGTGTATTACCAACAGTAACCTTGGAAACGGTGGTCCCAGCTCTTTTCAGGTCATTGACCAGCTCCTCCCGTGTAGTTCTGGGCTGATTTCTCACCTTTCTTAGGATCACTGAGACCCCACGAGGTGAGATCTTGCATGGAGCCCCAGTCCGAGGGAGATTGACAGTCATGTTTAGCTTCTTCCATTTTCTAATGATTGCTCCAACAGTGGACCTTTTTTCACCAAGCTGCTTGGCAATTTCCCCATAGCCCTTTCCAGCCTTGTGGAGATGTACAACTTTGTCTCTAGTGTCTTTGGACAGCTCTTTGGTGTTGGCCATGTTAGTAGTTGGATTCTTACTGATTGTATGGGGTGGACAGGTGTCTTTATGCAGCTAACGACCTCAAACAGGTGCATCTAATTTAGGATAAATGGAGTGGAGGTGGACATTTTGAAGGCAGACTAACAGGTCTTTGAGAGTCAGAATTCTAGCTGATAGACAGGTGTTCAAATACTTATTTGCAGCTGTATCATACAATTAAATAGTTAAAAAATCATACATTGTGATTTCTGGATTTTTTTTTAGATTACGTCTCTCACAGTGGACATGCACCTACGATGACAATTTCAGACCCCTCCATGATTTCTAAGTGGGAGAACTTGCAAAATAGCAGGGTGTTCAAATACTTATTTTCCTCACTGTATGTAGCACATGGACATTTTCACTGCTACAGAGAAAATATTTGCCTCAAAGAAACAGTCTCTGTGGTGAAATCTACAGTCCTGTTGTGGCTTGGTGATGAATTCTTGCTTCAGCCTTTTAAAGTCTTCTGCTGGCTTTTTGGCTTGTCCTTGTGGGGCCTGTAAATGGTTCATAGTGATATATTAAGTAGACAGGTATGACTGCGTGTGTGTATAAGAATTAGGTTTATTTACTGGGTGAGTTGCTGAAATAAACCATGCAGTGCTATATTTCTTTCAAACACACCGGAGCATTGAATGATGAAACACACAGGGAGAGGCTGTGGTGGGTATTGATGTGAAATGCCCTTGGACCGAAGCCAAGACGGTGAAATGGAATGAAAGGAAAGCAGTCACTCCCCTGTTAACTCAAGGTTGTACTTTACAGGAGCTTTATCTCTCTGCGTTGTCAATGATATGCTTAGTAAATGTGCTCTATGCGTTTGTTCCAACTATAAAAAACATCTAAATCACATCTGCCTGTTGACTTTGAAGATTCCTAGCAATTTGACTGTATTTTTCCAAGGCCGATACGGTATGTCATGGCTTATCCACAACTTCTGAGCTGGCAGGAGGCTGGCGTTTGGCACTTGCTTGTAAACACAGCCAGTGAATGAGCCCTTAGTGATCGGGACCCCTGCCAGCTCATGGAAGTGGCAACGGATCATCCTCAGTTAATAGGCGCTCATAATCCTCTGTGAATGTCTTATGTTGTCCCCAGAGAGAAGCGAGACTAAGGCATGTATTTGCAATCAGCGTGCATTAAGGGCTGACAGTTTAACTGCAGCCATAACTGTAATAAACCAACCCACTGTTTGCATGCTGTATGGAAGCAAAATGAAAACTGCAAAGTGTTTTTTTTATCTCTAACAATGGCTCTCTTTCTTTCTCCCCAACTGCTGCTTGTCATTGCTACAGGAAGTCGAGGTTAGTATGTCTTTTGTATATCTGCACAATGCGATGTCTGCCTTTCTTGTGACGTCTCTTTTAGGCTGTAGGTGTCACCTGCTGCATGCAAAAGCACAACAAATATGGTACAAACTACAGAAATGTGTCTTTGACAACGACACAGAGGTGAAAAATAAAGGACATTAAAAGCAATAACATTAACAAATAACAAATAACAAATAACAAATGTAATTCTATTGTACAGTCAAATGCAAACTACGACTTCCTGCAGAAAACAAGAAGTTTCACTAATAATAAATGAATATGTGGTATGGTTCATAAATGGAATTGTGTTTAAACTCAGCAATCAATTCACTCCAGTAAATACAAGTATAAACACAAAAACTATCCCTTTAACTCCTCACCCTGTACAGAGTATTTAAGATGCCTTCGGCTGTACTTGTTCAGCTTGACTTGAGAGCTCAGTCTTCATGTCCCCTGAGCAGAATAAGACTGAGCTAAACTGAACAGACCTGATCCTCAGGGTCCTGTCTGGGCCTGGTGCCGAGTAGTAACCGCTTTATAGTTGATCCTCTCCATCCTGACACAGAGAGAAATGGGTCAGAATGGATACAGCAGGGGGACGCTGAATTTTTATTATCGTTCCAGCGTGCCGTCGCAAGGGAAACAATGTGAAACCCAGAGTTAGTTTGCAAATATTCCCTCTGCAACTGTGCAGGAGCTAAGATAGTTCAAGTCTTTTTATGAGATACTCTAAAGTTCACAGAGTCTTGCTTTGTGCCATTAGAGGCTACATCTATAAGAACCACAATAATAATTTTAAAATTTTAATAATTATGGGATTTATATAGCACTTGTCAAAATAAGAGCTTCGAAGTAGCAGCACCTCTAAAGCGCACTAATTAACACCATAAATCTCTTTAACCTGAACCAAAACAAAAGCGTAAGGGCATTTACACAGAGTCTGGGGGCCCTCAGAGGTCACCTCCATAACAAATCCTTGAGTGGAGAACAACCAAGGGGGCCTGGCCTGATGATCTGAGGCTGCTCACTGGCTCATATGAAGACAACAGGTCTGAAATGTAGCTGTGCATCAGGTATGGTGTGCACTTACAGGTTAAGGTCTATTTTTAAATAAACAAGTTGTAAACAAGCGTAATATAATCTTATCTTCAAGGTTTGTTAAAAGAATAACTGCACAATCTAGACTTTTTAGAAATGATGTAAATTCCCTGGAGAAATGAATGCTTGAATGAACATGAAAAAAACAGGAAAGGTGTCATTTTTTATTTAATTAGGAAGTAGACAAAACAAGACTACTACATTTTAGTGTGCTGTTACAAACTTAAATCTAAAACAAAATTAGAGAACACTTTACTGATCCCCAGGAGGGACAATAAGGTGTTACAGCAGCACAGAAAGTAGATCTAGAGGTTAAGTTGACCTAGGAAAGGATTTGACTGGACATGTGTGTTATTATCCTAACAGAAACTATCCATCCGCCACTTTTTGGAAGATATAATTCAATGTCATCAGCAAAAGAGTGATGTTTTACAGCACTAGCAATGAATGACATGCCTGAGTGGGAAATATAATCTCTTTTTGACATTGGCTGTATAACCACTTGGTTACATTTTTGTTTCTAGTTTTTATTTATTTATTTTACCTTAAAGACAGAAATAGAGATAAATCAATCAGTCAAATATATAGTATATGTGGTGAATAATAACGGTCCCATAAATTAACTCAATTCAATGAAACCTTATACTGAAAACATTCCTGAAGGTTATAATAATTAGGTTTTTGCTCACTTGCTATATCTTGAAACACATCTATTCAACATTAGAGCTGAATATATTTGAATTGCTAAAATCAAAGTGACTTTCTATTTAATTTTGCATGTCTGTTATCTTCCTTCATTACTTATGCTCTTCTGAATTTTCATGAAGCGTGAGTGTAAGAGCATACTTTCTCCATTGTGTAGCCTAACATGAATTATTAAATCCATTAATGCAAATATCTTTTCTTCCCAGGATGACATCAGAAACGTGGAGGAGAACACAGGTTCTGATGAAAGTAAGTAAAAGATTCTGTTTGATTAGTAAAGATTTTTCAGTGGACATATGAGGATGGCTGTGTGATTTACATTTGAAGTTTAGGGTGTTTCTCACTATACTACTATATGCAGAGACAGTTTCCAAAGACTTTCAATATTTAAATGGCTTTACTTAAATGGCCAGTACTACTATAAAGAAAAAAAGAACTGCTGGCTACCAGATTCTACCAGTATGATCAATGCTAAGTGCTGTCCGCCTTTATACATCTGCTCTAGACAATGAAATAGTGTGGCACACATTATCAAAGTGCTGCCTTTAATTACAGCAGTTGTCTAAGGGTTATCAAGTGTGTGGTGAGCGCTAGTCTGGGGTGTCAGAGCTTGTGGAGGGTGAGAATGCAGTTGTGATTCAGGAAAGGAGAGCCTTCAGTCTCATCCATTACTTTGAAAAGCTTGCTATAATTGCCTTTGTTGCTGAGAGCTCAACTCAAAACTCCCACCAGGCTCCATTTACCTCCATGGGGCCTGTTTCTTGTTCAATAAAAAAATCTCACTTTTAGAAAATCATCTGTGGAGGAGGAACAGAGATATGAAAATGGTGAACATTTCTATGTTATTTCAGTCAGATGGTCTTTTTGTATTCAGCAGAAATAATACAATGTTTAGAGTGCATACACCTGTTTCATAATCTTATACATTTTTGTCATTTTTAATGGTCAGGTTGCCTGAATCATGAATCATAGAATTTTATGTATTTGGCTCAATACTATGAGCCAAATACATAAAATTCTAAATAAAGTTTAAAGTATTTTCATAGTAAATCTAGTTTGGTTGAGGTTCAGCTGACCCTGTGCATGTTTCCACAGAGCAGTCACTCTAAACTTAACATGCAGCTGTGAGCTAAGCGCTTATTTAACTGAACTAGTCAAATGCTTGCCCTTTTGTGGTGGCAGTAATGAAGTGAATTATGAATCATTTCACAGGTCGGGTTATAAAGGTACATGTTGTAGCCAGTTGAGCAGGTTTTCAGTAAGTGTGTGTTTCTGCATCGGGGTGAGTGTGGGAGGTCGGGTGTAGAGCCACAACTCCCCTGCCTCGCTTAAAAGACAATGAAGACTTGCATCAAAGAAGACAGATGTGAAGAAGCAGAAGCAGCAGCTCCAGACGTTTTCCCAGTCATCTGTTCTTACAAGAGGGGGAATAAATAATGTAGTCTCAAGAAAACGCCTCTCTTGCTATAGTGTGGGCGATGTTCATTTGAATACTATTGATTTCATCCCCGTCCCAGCTCCCACTGGGACTAATTCTGTAGACCTAATTGATCAGGGTCCTCTTCATTGCAAATTCAACAAGACAGCAGAAACCCCGACAAGGTGTACCTGCAAGCCCTGGATAGAACAAAAGACCTAAAAGGAGACTTCAAACACATCCAGTGCTTTTTTTAAATGAACTGATTGAGACGTCAGCACAGCTCTGCAGAGTCTTCTCTGTGTTTGAGGGCCATTCCAAAACAATAAGGTACCTGTTGCTCTGACTTAACAGAGGGGCTGCTATATTTGACCTTTGACAACCTTAATTTTAGCAGATAAATGAAACTTCTTTTATGCACAGAGAAGTGACTGTGATTATGCTTCCATTTGTACAACAACTTCAGGATATTCTCTAGACATGATGTGTTATGAAAAGAATTAGAGGTGAACTTGTGTGTTATATCCTTTCTAATTATAAGTAAATCATTTCATTCTTCCATTGGATTCGAATAAAAGCTGTTTTAACACAGCGACCAGCAATTAAATCGAAGGATACAAAAGTCTTCTAAGATGACAGTAATTGCAAATCCAGTTGAAACTAATTTACTTAAAGCCGTCAAATGGGCCAATCTCTTTGATGCTTTTAAAATAATATCAGTGCTTAATCTTTTCTCTTCTATTTCTTACCAGCTCCTTTGCAGATTTGAATTTTTTCTTTTTTTGTCCAGAACCACTAAAGTACTTTATTAAATGCACGCCCTGACGATTCGAATGTAAAACAAATGGTGGATGAAGGCCTTTGATGGAGGATCCTGTCTAACTGCATGCTTCATGCTCAGTAGAGAATTTAGATGTGAGCACCGACAACAGGGAGAAAGCTAATATTGGATGAGAAGGCAGCCATGTTGTGTTTTTGATCGCAGAGTAATAATAATAATAATCTCACAGAGATTGGACACAGGCTTAGTGGAGTCCCACCGCCTTTGTTGACATGATTACAGGACGATTTAAAACCCATGATGGTTCTTACACGTCCTGGCCCTGCGATGAATTCTCAATGCAACGCAATATTAACAACAAACAGGAGAGCAGGCGAGGTGGAAAGCACACATGATCTTTAATGCAAATTAAATCTTATGTTTGGATTTCATTTTCAGTATGTAGGAGTTGTACACTGTGTGAGGGACGTGTTTGGTTTTAAGCTGTTGCTTGGAGGCAGACTTGAAGGTGCTCATAAATACCAAACATAGGAGCAATGAGAGAGCCGCCATCACCGTCTGAAACAATACTGAAAAACTGCAATCTGTGTTTCTATGGGAACATACAGTAACGCAATGTTGTGTTAGTTCGCATGAAAATATCAGATTCAGTGAATGGTTAGGCCATGCATCAATTAACATGATCATTTTTGATAACCAATTAACTTGATAAATTATTTACAGAGTAGTTTTGTTTAGACGCACATCCAACAACACTAACATATGGCTGTCTCCTCCTGAACTGTTAGGCATAAAAGCAAATTTATTCCCTAGTTTAAGATGAATTCATAAAACGCAACAGACTTTAAAGCTGCTATAATAGACATTTTTGTATTGACAAAGGGTCAAATTACTTTTTGTAATGGGAAAAGGATCATCTCTGCAGTTCCTCACTGCTCTACAGAGTGTTTTAGCGCTTTTCAGCTCAATGTTTGGGTTACTGTTTTGGTTCACTCTCACCGTTCTCATCAGTGCCATTTTTTCAGCCCAGCAGGGAGCTGTTTTCAGCAATAAAGCTCTAATAAAGCCGCTGTACACTACCTGCCCAGACCCAAATGACAGACAGATGAAGTAAGCGACTAGCTGATGAAGTGGAGTATTTAGCAGCTAAAGAGCCAGATGTATATCTCTGTAGTTGGTGGAGACCAAAACTGGGCTAAAAGGAGAGTGAATTTTGGACAGAAACACAACTCCACATGAATGCTAATTGTTAATGCTAGTGTTATTCCGTAACTACTAGATGTGTTTGCTAAGTTTCCCATATCAACTTAAAAGCTGACAATTTGTTCGTTTTTTTCTACTGCCCCAAAGTTTTTGTCAAAAAACATTTTTCACCACCCTTATCAGAATTTCCATCCATTCTTCACTAAATATTGACATATGTGGAAAAAGTTGTTTGTCTTTTTCTATTCCAGTTTTTTCCCTGTAAATTCCAAATTCATGTAGGCGTAAACCACAAAACACTTTAATGAATTGTGCAAAAAAAACTACAAATGTAGATGACATGTGAACATACAGTATCAACAATCAGAAAAATCATGCTCAACATTAGTATATGAGTATATGAGTATATGTTTCCAGATTCAGATCCACGTTCAGTATTATTAAACTAACACATAAAGAGAACTGTAGAGCTTTGGTACCAGTATGTGCTCCCTGAGTGCTTTCTAGTTTTATTTGATTCCTCCAGTAGATGTGGTATGGCCAAAAAATTATAAAATGGCACAGAAGAAAGTGGGGAATAATTTAAAGTATATTACCTCACAAAAAAAACGATTTAGTGTGGTTCCCTGCTCCCATGAAAGTTTATGTTCCACTGGAACCTTTGTTAACAAAATTAGCTGTTAAACGTCATTCTCTGACTAACAAAATATACCGTCTATGTATGGATAAACCAGAAGAAAGAAACCTGAGTGATGAGTTTCACTAAAAAGAAAATGCAGTGCATTGAGGCATACTGGAAATATGAGATGTCTTTACTTTGTGTTTTATAAAGAAATCGTCAGAATGATGTGTATGGTGACAGTTTGGGGTGATTTTTGGGAGGTTTTATGTCTTCAATCAAAAGAGAAATAACAGACAAATGTACCATCAGTGGTGCCATCTGGATATTGTTAAGCCGCTGGGTTTAAATCATGACAGAGTAGAATACCTGTTAGAACAGATGAGGAGAATAAAAGTCAAGTGGTCACAAAATATTTTATATGGAGTGACTTTCCGGTTTTATTCAGCACTGCCAGAATCCAGCCATCTGTCTTTCAGCTTCTCTGCTGAGCCTAAATGCTATGTCTTGTATTTTTATGAGTTTCTTCACCACTGAGAAGTGGAACTTTGTTAACCACATTTGTAATTCAATTACGATAATATATTTTTATACTAATACAGCTGAAGTCCTGCTCTACTTTTTAGTTAGCTTCTGTTTTATGAACCGCTGTTGCTCGAGGTATTACAGAGGTAGAAACACAGCACAGGATCTCTTTAATCTGTTCATATTGAAAGTACTATTGTACTGTATTTGCAAGGTACATGGTACAAGGTAGTTTTATTAGTCATTATACAGCACAAGGCTGCATAACTAAACGAATTTTGTAGTTCCTTCACGCTACACACACAACTTATTAAGTGTAGGCCTATATTAAAATATGTTAACATATAAATTAAAAGAAAACAGTATATACAGTTATTTACATAGGCTACACGTATACACCCCAAACATTCCACAGTGCATTTTTGAATTTGCATCTGGGGTGAATGTAAACACCAGCAAACACATGATAACATCAAAGTTTCATCTTCACAATAAACAGTCTGACATTTGGGAAACAGAGTCCATCTTGACTGCATTTGAGCACCAAGCATCATCTAAGTAAAACACAAAGTCCACCTCCTTTGATCTTGCTGGAGTCTTGCGCTCACAGCCACCATGGACATGGACCACCTGCCGAGTGCTTGATCTGGGAGGTTGATGGGGCAGGTCTCTGTAACGATGTGGGCACAACAGTCTCTGAATTCCGTTATCTATCACTACAAGTCCCATTTTGTCCAAACCGTATCTCTAGGAGTAGAATTAAATCCAAGCTGGGCCAGCATGGCTCCTCTCCTGGCTCTCTTTCCTCTCCTCTGAGCGATCACCGCACCCGCCGTGGTGCCTGGTCTGGTTGTTTGGGCCGGGTGGATCATGGTCTGCTGCTCTTTAATCCAAAACCCCCGTCTTCATCTTCCAATGACTGCACTTATGTCAGAGGTAACACGTGTTTTGGCAAGAAAGCTGAAAAAATGTTTGCTATTAAATGTTGGGCACAAATAGCCTCAGTATCATGTTTCAGCCTTTTAGACAAACTAATACGTAAGAAAACCTTAATGCAACTAAAAAGAAGTCCCAGGTCTTAACAGTCCTCTAAATTTGTTCTTTTAATAAATGAAAATGTTTAGAAATGTTTAATCTGCATCTGTATCCAGATATGCATCAAAATATACGCACTCTATTGAAGATTTTACTCATGTAAGTGCAGAACTTCAACAGAAGATTGTGGAAATGTTAAACCATCTTGCAATGTTAAAGAGATTTACTATACCCAGTCTAATAATCTTACTTGCCTTGAAAACTATTTTGTGTGGAATTATCCTTTAAGAAATGCCAGAATCTGCTCCAAAGACAAATAATTTTTTCCTTGGATCATGGCCTAAGGTTTAAGCAAACTGTATCAACTACTAACTCAAACTTTACTGTCAGGTTTTGAGATACCCAGCCCCATTTATGACCTCAGCAGTCTGGACAAGTAGTGTTCACTACACTACCTGTTATCCAGCTGCTTGTTGTATAGTCATAGGTAGTTTCTTGGTCCCACAGATATCTCCTGTCTCCACTATAAAGTGTTTGCGTAGGGTGGTTTAGTAAAACCACTGTCTGCGCAGTCTTTGACAGTTTGTAGAAATGGCAAGGAGTTTCAGAGCTCAGATAACAAGGGAGTCAATTAGACTTTTGGTCAGACTACTCTGCGGGTTTGAGCTATTTATTTAAAATGAATAAGTCCTGTCGCAAAGAGAGTAACACTGGGTGAGAGACATTTTGGCATATAAATTGCACATGAAGAGTTGAAACTGTAAAAAAAGACTAAGACGAAGTATATTCGCAGTAATTTAAAGGGCTGAAGCAAACTCAAGGAGTGGGTTTTAGCACTTTGAGCAACGATTTTCCATTGTTGTGCATGTGGTAATACATTATTGTGTCATGTTCTTAACTATTAGTCAACAATTAGTTAAATTTCTGTAGGTGTTGGAAACGCTAGAAGAACGCACAATTTTTTCCACCAAAATCAATCCACTAATAAGATTTTCCCACTCACGTATATGTTGAACACTGTGTAAGGGAATCACAACATATAAAGTGTTGAGGATGGAGGCTTGGTATCCCAGAAGTTTGTTTGTATGGAACTATGACAAACACATACCCAACATAATTAAAATGCATTGTGGTCAAAAGGCTAGTGGATCACAAGCTAGCTTGGAAGTGGTGCAGAACTTGGGCTCTTTATAAACTCCAGTCATCAGCTTAGTATCAAACCTTGCACACAGCCTCCTACCAACTCTTGTCATCCACTGATTCTATAAAAGTCTACTGTTCCCTCATACCTTCCTGCTGTAGCATCAGAGTATCACCTAGTCTCTGGATTTGTGGGCATCTGGCTGGCAGCCACCTTGTCTGTTGACCGTGTTGACTACAAAGCAGCTGCTCAAAGCTGACTCAGGACTTCACAACTTAAATTTCTCCCACCGACTGCCACTTGCCACTCAATCTTAAATTTATCCAAGCCTTTAAGTTTTCTGCAGCCTCTTCGGCAAGGTGGTAAATGGACTGGGACGGTGTGACCACAGGCTGAGGAAGGTGGAGGACACGGTGCTATTTCCATCTCAGGCTATCAGTAGAAAAAAGAGGTTAGCATTGAACAGTTCAACTCTCCATAGATGGAGAGACATGTGGGGGGAGCAAGCAAGGAAGGGAGGGAAGAAAGAAAGGAAACGTAGGAGACAAAGATGGAGTGTGTGTGTTTGTGTGAGACAGAGAAAAGGCAAGACGGAGAGAGACAGTGATAAGTTGACATGGGGGAAGTGAGATGTGACAAGCTGAGAGAAAGAGATGCTCAATCAGTGCTGTCAGGTTTTCTTGCAATCATAGACAGCCGTTGGAGACTGCAGGCAGTACTATTGACGATGGGCTGCCTCACTAATGACAGCTAGGCGTCCATGTTTTCAGCGGTGCTGACTATAAAATCAATGGACTCATTTGTGCACACAGCTAGAACATTTTTCATTATATTTCATGATTTTTATTGCATACGCCTGAGTAACAGATAGTTTTGTGAGGATGCAAGATCATTTTAAATGGTGTAAATATGCAGAACTTGATTATGCAGCATATAAAATAGCTGTTTTCCTCTGCGGTTTTTTGGTGGTACTTGCTATCAATCTATTCCCTGTCAAAAAACGAATAAAAAACAGCCGGAAGCTCTGTATTTTTCCTCCTGAAGGTGACAGAAATAGAGAATTAAAGCAAAACACCTCTGCTGTGATTGACACCTCTGGATTCTCAGTGTTGTTGTTTTGTGTTCATAGCCGTGGACACCACCAAGGACCCGTGCCAGAACGTGAAGTGCAGCCGCCATAAGGTGTGCGTCGCTCAGGGCTACCAGAGGGCCATGTGTGTCAATCGCAAAAAACTAGAGCACAGGTAGGTGGAACTCTGGTCCGTTTTGTGTTTGCAGGACATGTTGGCACTGTTAAGATTTCTGCGTGGACAGGACAGACATTTCTATGGCGTTGGCATTAACAGCCGTTAACCGTGTGTTAGTTAAAAGCCTTTCAGTGTCTGGTTGGAAAGCTATTGATTAAACTCAGTAACCGGGCCAGAGAGTGTCATGAGTCAGGAGTGATGTCATTTCAGCTAAAACACTCATGCTGAACAATGACTAATTAACTGTGTAGATGGAAGGTGGTAAAACTGATCACAGACAGTTAGGGAGGCAAATAATGGTCATAAAATGTGAATTTTATGAGCAAATAAAAGACTAATTTTGAGGCTTAATGAATACTAAATACTTAATGTTGAAATTTAAATGCCACTGAATTTATGACACTGAAATAGCTCTGAATTTGACAGAGCCAATTTTTTGACTTAAGTTAAATTTGTAGATCTAAATTGAGATCACTGAATTTGAGCAATTTGAACATGCTTAAGCTAGATGTTTTTTAATGTACAATATGTCTGTGTTATAAATGCAGTGTTAGTAGTATTTATTATTTAGTAGTGATTAAACTTCAAAATTTTGTATTTAGTTGCTTATTAGATTCAAATATTTATGCCCATTATTTGCTTCCATAGAACGTCTTTAAAAAACATGGCTACATTTAAAATCATAACAGACAAACAAAAAAAGAGATGCCAGCTTAATGGGTAACACTTAAAGTCAAAGGTGCATACCTTATGAATAGTTAATGCTTAACTAATACATAACTCATCATTATCTAATCAAATGCATGATGTGTCATGAACTCCCGGTCTCAGTTTTAATTAATAATGAAGCCACTACTACTTAATTTGATTAGTTAAAATTACATGGATCATCAGTTTGTGAGCTCATACATTTATGTAGTTAAGCCAGACTAAAATTAACATGTCATCAACTCAGAAGTTAACCAATAAAGTTGGACAAAGTAGTTTTCCAGGTACCTTAGCTATGATAACACTAGTTATGGCTGATTGATTTGCACTTGCAAGTCGGCATCATATTCATCAAAAACGTTTGTCCCGATCTTATCCTAGGGTGTCAAATACAAAAGCTTTGATAAAGCCTGACAAACTGTCCGCTTGGCTTTCAAGTAACTCCAATATAACCCATCCGCTGTCATGTAATGTACTTATTTAAACCCAAAACATGATGTTTTCCTAAACCTAACCAAGTAGTTTTGGTGCCTATACCTAACCAAAACCACGATCTTTTACTAAACCTAACTGAGTAGTTTTTCATGTCTAAATCTAACCAAACTGCATAAATACCACATATTAAAAAGACATCTCATATGGACGCTGAAGGTTACCTTGCTTGTCTTAGAGTGGACTTACTTTTTACTGTAAGTGCAGTATTGGGGCATTTGCGGGAATACATCGATTTATCACTTGGGACAGAGAATGTGGGACAGGGGCATAAAGTGGCGGGGGGAATCTCCCCTTGGACCCCCTACTTCCTATGAAACCATGACAACTATTCAATAGGACAAAGTATTTAAAAAATACTTTTACATTTTGACCATTTAATACAGTTTAATACTGGGGTTTATAGTATTTCAAATGTGCCTCCCTTCACAAAGACCCTCTGAAATAAATCTCACTGAAAAGTATTTATCTTTTCCCTCAACCATTCATTAAACTCTGTGTGAAAAACAAATGAGCAGAGTTGCAGTCTGAGAAGAATTAATGGAGTGAATTATTACTACCTGCAAAGTCTATCTGCTGCGATAGGCAAAGTGCCTCATTTACAGAGTCACTCCAGAGAGGGGAGAGACTGTGTTGAATAATGGGTAATAAGTACAAACGCAAGCACACTAAACCATCCTAGCATCATTTAATAGCAGCCTCAGAAGCTGTATTGCAAAGCCTAATGCCGAACATGAAGTCAATCACCATGTGAGAGGAAAGCAAGCATGGGGGATTTTATGAAGCAGTGTATCCAAATACTAACGGATAATGCAGATCATTTTTGTTTTATTTATACAGGATCTTAGATATATGCCTCTGAGGTTTCTGTTGCCACCCCACCACAGTGAAAGTAAATGGTTCTCACAGCATTTAAAAACCCAACAGCAGCGTGTCTTCCTCTGTTTCCCCATTACATTTACATTACATTTTGGATGCTCTCGATGGTACAGCATTTAGTACAAGTCCACCTTGATTCTGGGACACAGGTGAACTTTCTGAAGGCTCTGTAATAAGTAAATGCACTGCTGTGCCTTTTTGACTAGGGTGGAGGAGTTTAGGGGCAGGGGGAGATCATCACAGATGTGGATGCTAAGGAACTTAAAGTGTAACACACGCTCCACTACAGCTCTGTTGATGTAGATGGCGGTGTGTGCGTGGCTCCCAGCCCTCCTGAAGTCCACGATGATCCCCTTGCTCTTCTGGGTGTTTAGCCCTGTGTTGTTATTGACACACCACGTAGCCAGGTGCTGTACCTGGGACTCCAGAACAGGGCTCAGCATGCAGCTTTGTGGCACGCCGGTGTTCAGGGTGATAGTGGAGGTGGAGAGGTTGTCTAACTTAACAGACTAGGGTCTGTTAGTCAGAAAGTCCAGTTGCAGAGGGTAAGTGGTTAGCTGATACCAAGCTAGCTGAGCTTGGAGATCCGCTTGGGGGGATTACAGTGATAAATGCTGAACTGAAGTTTATAAACAGCACGTTTACAGCACTTACATGTTTCAACTCTAAGGGCAGAGCGGAGTGCCGTAGACATTTTGTCCTCTAGACCTGTTGCAGCGATAGGCAAACTTGTGTGGATCCAATGTAGCAGGTAGACAGAATATGAAGTTTGAAATAATTAGTCTCTCCAAGCATTTGACAGTGATGGGGGTGAGTGCGAAAGGGTGGTCTTGAAACTAGTAGGGACAGCTACATGGACCAGGGATCGATTGAAGATGTCCATAAAGACCTCGGCCTGCTCTGCACAGGCTCTAAGCACGTGGAAAGGTATTCCATCAGAGCCAGCTGCCCCCTGTGCATTCACCTTGCTCAGAGTAGAGCAAACCTCTGAGGTGGAAAGTGTGAGAGGCAGTTCACAAGGTATTTTGGTAGCATCGCACAGACAAAAAACGCTGTCTGCTTGGTAAGATAGGATACTATTAGAGGTAGAGGAACGTTTTTTTTTTTTCATTTGAGTGGACAGTCATTTTAACTTTTCCTTTTTTCCTTTCATGTTCAGAGTCAAACAGCCAGGTCAACAGGAAGCTCATGAAAGCAGCTGCAAGCCTTGTCCTGTTACTGCCTCCTCACCTGTATGTGGTTCTGATGGACACAACTACGCCTCTGAGGTAAAAGAAAATATTCTGCACCAGCATCTCTCTTTGAAAGCACTCAACTTTTTACTTAAATGATTCTTCTTTCGCTTTATTACTGGATTCTGCCACCATAAAGACCCTGAAAAGAAATGGAAAGTGCCTGTGTCATCGTTTTGAATAATGAGAGGAGTCCAGTCAAGTGCTGTTTCCTGCTGCGCTGACATATACGTGGGCGCAGCAGGGCAGCACAGTTAATCACTGCACGCAGGAGGACAAGTGCACCGGCTCAGCGTGGCCATATGATTAATGACTGACGTTGTTTTGAGTGGCATCACCGTATACCGGCTGCTGCCAGGACTCTTTATTGATTTATGTATAGTTTTTAATTTTGACCTTGCATGAGAAGACAGTGGAAAATGACAGCTCATTCTTGCTGCCTTTCTCTAAGTGCAGTGTCTCATCTGAATGAGCAATCTCTCTTTCCTGCGGTCACCCCCATAAATATTTTAACTGCATCTCTCTCTCCCTCCTTACAGTGTAAGCTGGAGCAGCAGGCCTGCCTCACAGGCAAAGAGCTGAACATCATGTGCACTGGCTTTTGCCCCTGTGCCACAGCCCCCATTACCATCACGAATACTGACACAAAACGTGGCAAGTGCCTTTTCTTCACCTTCTTATTTTCCTGCATCTTAATTTTGGGATTCACGCCTCCCCTTCATGTGGCAAGATTTCAAAAAAGGAAAGTTATGATGCACTGGTGGCCACACACAGCTTGCTGTCAGTAGGCTAGCACTCCAGTTTTTTCATAGAACCAATCATCCCAATGCTCAACGTTTGGGATCAATACCAATTTCAAAGATTACTATTATCCAAATATCCCCATTGTGGTTAAACTGCTCTTTCAATCATGTTGTAATTAATTATTTAGAGTGTACACTAACTGTCATTGCAGCCAAACAGTATTGATTGGCTCTCAGGCATGTGAAAATGCCAGTTTATCAAAAGAATGAAATGGTACTCCTGTTTTTCCAACTGTAGCCTGGAACAAGTGCTTAGCGTGAAAAGTGGATTTCTATTGGATAACAGCAATTTGCTGCAGTAGAGGTAATTGCAAAATAATGTTTTCTTTGATTAGCAGATCATACAGTTATAAATGACAGCATGAAAATCCAACAGCTCACTTCAGCAGCTTTACAGTGTGGGAAACCTGTGCCTTTCATTCTGTTCCCTGTACATCAGCAAGAGGAATATGAAGCAGTACTGAGTCCCTGCCTGGCTTTTATGAAGGTGAGTCAGATTGCTGTTAAGTGTCTACTAGAGTTGTGAATCCTTGGATTCCCTTTTTATCCTTCCTTAGAGAGCTGCACTGGCCAGGACGTGGCAGACCTGGGCGACCGCCTAAGAGACTGGTTCCAACTCCTTCATGGTAATGCCAAGCAGAATAACTCTGGCAAGCTCGGAGCTGGCACTGCTTCAGGTTAGAAACTCGCAAAGTGGCTTTATTCTCTGCTGCTTCCAAACTTACAACTCAATTATCTATGCAAAGGAATGTAGTATAAACACAAAAAACTAATATGCTGTGCATGTTAGGTTTGACAGCGCTGGACAGGAGCCTTGTAGCCAGCTGTAAGGACTCCATCGGCTGGATGTTCTCAAAGCTGGACACTAACAGTGACCTGTATCTGGACCAAGCTGAGCTGGCGGCTATTAACCTGGACAAGTACGAGGTCTGCATCCGACCCTTCTTTAACTCCTGTGACAGCTACAAGGATGGGAAGGTCTCTACGGCGGAGTGGTGCCTCTGCTTCTGGAGAGAAAGTGAGTGAAGAGACCTCCACTGAAGAAGCATAGAAAGTCTATTTTGAGTCAAATCTTGAAATGGGTGAAATAATAGCAACGGTTACATCATCACAGGGAAACAGAGGGTATGCAATGGTGTCACTTTATTCTACCCTCCTCGCCACCACTGGCAAAACAAGCCTCTGCTATGGCTGCTATGAAAAGGGATAAACAAATGAGAAATATCTTTAATAACTCATCACCAAACTGTCACCAGACATTTGTTCTATTTTGTATTTATGCATTTGTACCTCAACCTCAGGGAAGTAACGGTACCCTTAGAGGAATAGTTTGTAGTGAAATATGCTTATTAATACCACACTTACATTAAGTATGTAGCTAGAATCAGGATGTGAATTGTTTAGCTTAGCATAAAGAATGGAAGCAGGGGGGAAAGAGCTAGTTCTTCAACTGGCTGTGTCCAAAGTTCAAGAATACACCTACAAGCAACTCTCAAGCAAAATAATTACAGCATTTAACTCCTAAAAACACAGTTTAATTTTTACATTTCTGTTTTATACAAATCAAACAAAGGATATACATCGTGTTAATTAGTGACCTTTCTTGGTTCGGACAGAGAAAGGTTTGCTGTTTCCCCATGCTTCTTGTCTTTATCCTAACCTAATTGCCTCCAGGCTGTAGCTCCATATTTATCCCACTGATATGAGAGTGGTATCAATCTTTTCATCGAACTACCCGCAGGGAAGCAAATAAGTGCATTTCCCAAAATGTCAAACTATTCCCTGAAGTCTGAAACCCTACAGGCAGTTATTTTGAAGCAGGATTTGTCAGCCCAATCAACATCTTCAAAACACATCCTGGTTGTCTGTTGCTTCTCTTATCTTTAACCTTTGGCAGTTTGTGCAAACTTATGCTTAAATTCGCCATCCATTCATCTATTTTTCCACTGCCTCTCCAGCTCCAACAATATTCGCAGACATGATCAGCAGTTCTGTTCCCCCACTGAGAACAATCTGGGCAACACCTCTTTTATCTGAGTCATCTGACAGATTGCCAGAATCACTCTCTGGCAAATTGGAAGATTTCACTCAGCTCTGCCCACAACTGAGTTTTGTCTCTCCACCATGCTGTAGAAAATGCAGTCCTTACCTGAATTAGGGTTCCACTGGGCTAACGAAGCCTGAAAAGACTTTCTTCAGCTTGACGGTTTTCTTCACCACTGCTTTTCACCATTGGTTTCTTTGGTTGGCACCAGTGACCCTGAGGAGCCACCTCCACCATGAAGGCTTTTTACAACACTCTATGTCCTTTCCAGGGATGTAAGAGAATTTAGTAGTGCAATGCCTCAGGAAGATATCCCTGGTTCACCCTCCCTGCATGCTTGGGTTTACTTGATTTGTCTGGTGGTGACCTTTACCACCTGGTAGTCATCAAACGATTGCTAAGCTCTTCAACACACACAACTACAGATCTGGTGTTCTGATACCAGGTGTATTTATGAACTATACTTGAATAGGGGGAAACCTATTCAAGTATAGTTCATAAATATACCTGGTTTGATCAGTCCATAATTAGCAAAAAAGTCCAATAAAGCATCGTTGAGTTTAGATAAGGTAGACTGTTCTCTTAAATCAACCCCCACCTAGTTTTTCTGTCATTGCCATTCCACAGAAAACAATTTTTTTCCCTTTGTGAAACACGCAGTCACATAGATGCAGCTCACTGTTTGGAACAGAAGCTCCAAATCTGTTTGTGCATTCAGGAGGTTCAGCTTTTACCAATTTACAAATGTTTAATTTTTTTATTTATACCTATGAATGCGCCATGGCAGTCATAATTAGTGATATCAGGTGCATACCCACTATACTAGTCATACTAGGTCATGCAATCCCCACATCTTAGATCTCTAGGTGTTTTAAATGTCTTTGAATACTGAAAGGTGGTTTAAGGTCTGGTTCGATTCAGTGTTGTTCTTTGACGCAGAACTTCAATTGAGATCACAGCTCTGTTCTTCGAGGAATAAAATTAAACGCTCGTTTCATTTGTTGGCAGCGTAGAAGTTGAAAGCAGATTAACAGAGTTACATGGTGACACTGTGTCACTGTGCTGTGTTAAGAGAAATGTCAGGCAAAATGCTCATAGAAAGCATCTAAAAACCCCTGGTGAGCTTGAATATTCATTTTTTAAATGAGTGTGCCTGACATTTTATGTGTTGTCATGTTGTTAAATAAAAGATGATCACGTGTCTTTACGAATGTTATCTCACTGATAACCTACACTTTTACAGTGCTTATTTCAGCTGTGCACATTTGCAACACCTTCACCAGATGACCTCTACTAAACAAATACAGAATATACACGAGGCAATGACCTTGTTTGCATGCTGATTATTCCATTGATCAGGCAATTAGCCCGCAATGCAATAGATAACAGCGACTTTCTAATCAATTTTTAATTATTGCTGCTGATATTAAGTAATTAATAATGTTTTTTTGATAATGATTTGATGATGATGAACATGTTTTATTTTAACAAGCATTTCTTTTACTCGTGTACTTACTAGTACTCCCGTGACTTAAGTATCAAAAGAACTGATTATATTCTGTGTGCAGACACAATACACAATAGAAATGCTGTGAGAAAGAAAGAAAAAAATATTTCTGTGAAAATCTACCAGCACTGGGGAAGGTTCGTCGCCTTGGGGGTCAATACAAAGTGTCTTTCTCTTCTTTGTTTCTATTTCTATCTGTTCTAGAGGTGCGGCTCATTTTCTTGTCATTCTCAGACTACATCCATATGTTCTTTCACCTAAGCTTCTCAACAATTGATCAGGCTCTGAGGGAATGAAATATAAGACTTCTTAAACAAATCAATACGACAGAAAGTATAATTATGAAGAGCATTGATTGAGATCAGGTTTGGAAGGGAGCAGATTTAGGTATTGTCTGTCATCACTTTTTCTTGTTTAATTCTCGCAGAGCCGCCATGCCTCGTTGAGCTGGAGAGGATCCAGGTGCAGGAGGCGGCCAAGAAGAAGCCTGGTAATTACATTTACCATAACAGTATTGTGAATTTCAAGATATATTTGACAGAAGATGTTTAAATCCTTCACTTGCCCAGAAACCCCTTTCGTACAGGAAATCACTACTCACTCACTTCAGATTTTTTCAAAGCCACACCACGCCACATAGTTAGCCATAAACTGCACAATCAAGCTGGCGTGTGCCCCCCTCGCTCTGGGATTCTGGGTGTTCTTATGTAACAAGGCGCCTGGAGCAACAGGCAAGAAGCTAGAGGAGGCTCATTTAAGAGATCACAAGCACACGGCTAGGATTAGGCCCTAATCAGGCTGGGGGGGATTAGGGGGCAGCGCTGGCTTTGGGAAAGAGCAAGGGTAATGCGCCCGTTTGACTCCCTGAGAGACCCCATGCTACAGTATCTACGCAGCATGCTCAACGTGCTGCACAACTGCTTTTCAGTCTTCAGCTCTAAACCCAGATATCCCCATTCCCTGAAGCCCACTTGTCTCATTGCTTGTGATTCCTCTAGTTTTCACAGTAGTTGGGGGAAGACTTCACTTTGGTTTGACAAGAGCCTCCTGAGGGAGGCTGAAACAGTCACTGAGGCTGTCATTGCATTTTTACATGCCACTCTCACAGCATAAGGAAGTACTCCGCCAAGGTACTGTATTAAAACACATCCACCAGCATATGCATGCTTGTGTAAAACAAACAAGGAAGCTTTCTCTGTCTCCATGGTATTCTCTGCCTCTCCATGCTGACTGATGGTCTTATCACAGGTTCACTAAGGCGTGCTGGTATTCTCGTTTATGCTGCACTCATCTCAGGCAACAGCATGAGGCAGCTATTCGTGCTAAGGGTATAAATATTTAACAGAAATGTATGTGTGTGCGTGCTCATGTGTGCGCGTGCACGCGCATGTCCTTTTAGGAATGTACATTCCCAGCTGTGACGAGGATGGCTACTACAGGAAAGTGCAGTGTGACCAGAGCCGAGGGGAGTGCTGGTGCGTCGACCAGCATGGTGGAGAGCTGATGGGCACCAGAATCCATGGCAACCCTGATTGCGGTAAGGGGGGCAAACAGATATTTCTCACACTCTACACACCAAGAAAATCTTCATTCATGAAGTAACTGAACTCTAGTAATATTTCTATAGGCAAGTTAACAAGTTATTAAATATTCTTCCTACATTTGCAGTTTTTTTAAACTTAGAAATACTTAAATAGAAATAAGAGCTGCAGACATTCACAACACCATTTTGGATCTCAGTATTAGAAATAGGGCTGAAAGTAATGGTTATTTTTTTTAACAATTACTCTTTGAATTATTCTTTTGATTAATCAGTTAATTGTTTAGTCTATAAAATGTCATAAAATAATGAAAAATGTCCATTCTGAAAGCCCAAGGCAATGTCTTCAAATTCCTTGTTTTATCTGACCAACAGTCCAAAACCCAAATATATAATAATAAAATATATTCAGTTTAGAATATACACAATTAAAAAACAGAATATCTTCACATTTCAGAGGCTAAAACAAAATATTAGCCATTTTTGCTTGATAATTATGTTGTTGTTTCAGAATCATCATTCCTCATGTGTTTATTTATCCTTTTCCAGATGAAGTGGTGGGATATTCTGGAGATTTTGGGAGTGGAGTGGGATGGGAGGACGAAGAGGATAAGGAGGCAGAGGACAACGGGGAGGAGGCAGAAGAGGAGGAAGAGGAGGAGGGCGAGGCAGACGATGGAGGATACATCTGGTAGAACTGTCTGACCCCATGCGGAGAGCCGAGTCACAGCTGCTGGCCTGAAAATCTATAGGTTAGGCTCTCTCCTCACAGCAAAAGATTTTGGGATCGAAATGGGGAGGCATGGAGTTGTGTCATCCTGGTGGGATATGTGGTGCTGGTCAGGTCCAGGGATGAGACGATGACCAGTTTTTGTCTTAGATATGTGTAATTGCTTCATTCTCTTCTGTTTTTTGAGCAACAGAGCTTTTTGTTTTGCTGTCCTGAAAAGCAGGGCCCACTGACTACTGCGCCATAGGTAGCTAAAATCCATCAGAATTCCAATCTTGTCCAACCGCCATCTATGCATATAGAGATTACCAGTAAATTTGTATTGTGTGAACAATTGCTTGAGTATTAGAGCCGCCGTCCCACTGGAATGACGAGAGATCAGAATTTAAAGGAATAGTTGGACATTTTGGGAAAAACGCTTGTTTGCTTCACTCTCACATTAAATATTAAGCTAGAGCTAGCCAACAGTTAGCTTTGCTTAGCATAAAGACTATAAACAGGGGCTCTGTTTAAATGTAAGAAAATATGCCTACCAAAACCTCTAAAGCTCACTAAATAACATCTTACATCTTGTTTGTTTAATCTGCACAGAAACCACAGTGTAAAAATAAAACGTTTTTATGAAACATTATGTGCCAGACTACAGCAATTCACTTTGCAAGGATAGTCTGCACCTCTAAAAATGATATGACGTATTAATTAGAAGAGCTTTAGAGGTGCAGGTAGGCAGATTGTGTTACCTTTAGAGAGAGACAGTCTAGCTGTTTCTCCCGTTTCAGCCTTTAAAGCAGCTATAATCAATATTTTAATAACAAGTGACATAACATAATAACAGTGAGGCTCAGCTCATTGTTTAGCTCTCTGGCCCACAACTTTACTGTTTTGATTCATTCAAAGGTCAAATTAACAAAATCAGGCAGGAAAAACACTCCAAAACGTTACCTGTGGAGTGTTGTGACTCTTCTTATTTTTCTGTATAAAGTTCCATCCATCCATCCATCCATTGTCATCCCCTTATCCTGTGTACAGGGTCGCAAGCTGTATAAAGTTATGGCCCACAATGAAAAATGTTTGGCCACCCCTGCTTTAGCAGCTGAAGAGCCAGATATTTCCCTTAGGAGCTGGTAGAGCATAAAAAGCTAAAAAAGAGTTAACGTTGGACTTCCATTCACCAGAAACACGACTCCATATGAATGTAAATGTTGCTCCGTAACTGTTGTGTGATCTGTAAGAAATTGTTCAACTTAATGCCATATCAACTTAAAAAGCAAGAATATGTTAAAGCAGTGTTCAAAACTTGTTTCCGCTGCCCCCAACGGGCCACATAAATCAGTTATTACAGCTCTGATCTAAGCTGAGCTAACCGTCTCCTGGCTGTAGCTTCATATTTACCGTTCAGACAGAGGATGGTTTTGATCTTCTCATCTATCTTAGATTGATAGCCAGCATTTCCCAAAATGTCAATCTATCAGTTCAGTGCAATGTGGTTGTGTATTTCCAAACTGATTCTGTATATAAATCCAGTTTAAAGGATCTGTGAAACAAATTTAGAGGATTCAGGGTTACTTCGGTTTCAAGCTACCTTTATGATGAAGGTGCACCACAAAGGAGTTTTTACATGCTTTACGATTTAAGTGGATACACATGACTATAGGACCTACATTTCCAGTTGCATTACTTTTATTGAAAACCTGTAGAATGTACTTTAATGACCCAAACTGCACCTACAGTAGAAACCACTAGTCGCTCTCCTCTGCTAACTCATGTCAAAGAATGTTCCACAACTATGTTTTATTCTGAGTTTGCAACTTGAAAAATTGTATTTTGTGTTTATATAAAAAAAATGTGTTACTTGAAGTTCTGTGTGTATACTTGAATTCACATTGTAATTTTTTTTTTCTATAAGAATATTGTTGCCATGTCTTCATTCATGTTATTAGTAGGCCGGACATTTGGTTGTTTTTAGACTTGCATGTTAGTAAATAAGAATGTACTTCTAGGCTGAGCACTTTACTAATAAAGGCACTGGAGCCAAGCTGTGTGTTGGCTTTAATCTTTTCCAACTATTTCAGAGATGAAAATGATCATCCAGACAGGAATTAGGTTGCCACCACGTCACACACCATCTTCCTCTATATTTAATGAGTGTTTCTGCAATGATTCTGCTAAAGAAAGGAACACTGTGATAAGGTGCCTGTGGGGAATTTGCATGAATTAGTAAGATAAAGGCAGGTTGACTGTTTTCGCCCGTCAGTAGACCCATTGCTTCTGACTCATTTTATACTTTAATAATAAAGCATATTTATAGATTGCAAAACAATGTTTTCATTTTTGCAGTTCTACAACCTTTCTTTTAACATATTTATCATTTTGTGTTTGTTTTTACAATTATTGAAAGCATTGTGATTCAACATTGAAATGGGGTCAATTACCTTTTTAGCCTTGGTAGTTAAGCCGAAGTGTCCTACGAAGGATGCCTGTCGGACGCCAAACAGAGTGAAGCACTAAAAGGATGAGGCTCCCCCAGAACCAACAGAGAAGGACCTGTGCATTGGTCGCTTTTCAACTCTGATGGCTCTTCTGTCAACAGGTTTACCTTGAGATACCTCTCCGGTGTCATTCACCCTTGATTTTTCAGGCCTAAAGCGTTTAGCAGCTTCTGAGTAAATTATGTAATGTGACAAGCCTTGAATAATGTAGAGTTACCACTTAAACAGTTTTTTTAAATGTCCAAAGAGACAAAATGCTGGTTAAAAGAAATACAAATGACACCTGGCCAGTTGAGTCAAAACAAAAAATGGTTTTATTACAACATTTGAACCATTCATCAAATAGATCAATCTATATGTGTGGATGCTGTCATTCAAGTTTTGATGCAAATTATTTATTATTTCAAGTTAAAGACGTTATAAATAATTCCAGTACTTCATAATGTCAGCTAAAGGGCATTTACTGTACAAACATTTAAATCTGTATTATACATAATTTACAGCAGTTCAGCGACTGGTACAGAACACTGTTCAAAGGAAAAGCAGCTTGTTTACATGCATGCTATATTTCAAAACACTAAAATACCCCTACATATATTAAACAGAATATTCAAAATGTTACCCTGTAAACATGGGATGCAGGAAACAGTGAATGGGTTACAATGGACACATGTTTCTGTTCCCCGTGATCCATTTCCTGCTTCTCAGAATGAGGATACTTGTTTACAGGTCATTTTAAAAATGTATTCATGTTTGCATGCATGGACTGTTTGCAAGTGCACTTTCATATCTTTTCAGATAGTCAAAAAGTACATTACCTGAAGCACTTAAACCCTGTTGCACAGACTACATGCTGATTATATGCCCATATATTGCTCAGGCTCTAGGACAAAAGGAATAAATAAATAAAAAATACATTTTTATCATTTGTTCTTTTCATATTCAATTGGGCATTCAAAATCGGAAAATGAAAAAACTATTCATTATGTCATTATTATTTTATGATTCCAAAATAATTCATTTTTCTACTTTAATTTTATGCTCAAGTCGTGTGTTGCAGCAAAAACACTTGGGCGATGGCGCTACCTGATTTAATGTAGGCTAATGAATATGACCTTGAACATCAAGTGTTTGTTTGTTTAGTTTTTTTGACCAACATATCTTGAAAAATGTCACATTAAAAGTCTCCACTTGTGTGAACAGATGAACTTTTATAAGAAACAGGAAGTATAATGTGGGCATCCATACAGTGAGTTAGATGGTGGGCAGCAATGTGAGCCCTGTTTTATATTATGGTTACATTATATTACATATTATATTAAATTTTTTGCTGTGTACCATTGGATGTACTACCAACCATCAATGAATTGCTCTGATACTGAAGAAATCTTAAAAACCGGATGATGCTCAAGAATGTTGGAAGCGTTCCCATTGCTGCAAACTGAGCCTCGTTTTTTTATTTTCCAAAATATTATCCAACTTATGTTGACGTTCAAGCTCATGTTCATTATAGGGTACTACCATTGGCCCTTTTACTGCAAGTTTATTTATTAAAGAAGTCAGTAACTTCCTGGTTACACAAATCGGACACATTAAATATCAAAATCAAATTCGGTCAGTGGCCCGTTTTTTTTTTTTTTTCTTCCTATTATGGACTTAAAATAAAAGTACAAAAGCAAGCTGTTATTAGTTTTTTGTGTTTGATACGTAAAATTTATAGAATAAATGAGTTCTCTAATTTTCTAATTTTGGATTCCCAATTGAATATGAAAAGAACAAATAATACACGGACGAAACTGGCACAGAACTATATACACTGAGAAAAAAATTATAAACGCAACACTTTTGTTTTTGCCCCCATTCATCATGAGCTGAACTCAAAGATCTAAGACTTTCTCCATGTACACAAAATACCCATTTCTCTCAAATATTGTTCACAAATCTGTCAAAATCTGTGTTAGTGAGCACTTCTCCTTTGCTGAGATAATCTAACACTTTTTCGAATGGCCTTATATTGTGGCCAGCCTAAGGCACACCTGTGCAATACCCATGCTGTCTGTAAGCATCTTGATATGCCACACCTGTGAGGTGCTCACTAACACAGATTTTGACAGAAACTAAAGTGTCGTGTTTATAATTTTGTTGAGTGTATATTCTTTCCTACTCTCAAGTACAGGGGAGTAAGATTGACTCTGCTACATCACAGTTGGTCATTCTACTTTACCGTTTCTGGACATTTTAAGTGCAATGCAATATTACAGCCTTTATGATGTAATATAACAAGGGCAGCTATTGAAAGTAATAAAGGTTCTGTATAAACATTTTATCTTTGAGCTCTGTACTGAACACCCCAAGGATAATGAGAACCTATTTCAGTCCACCTAACACACTTCAAATTAGCTGCCTTCAATGTAACATGTAACATCACAGATTAGAGAAGATGCAACTGCACATAAACAAGCCAATTCAATGAAGACGCTGATATTCACAGTACACTCATCAGTGAGCGGGTTCAATTTGACTCAGTTTACTCCACCATCTTTGCCTTTATTTGTGGGACGTGTCGTCTTTTCTTCCTTTTTTTTGGTTTCTAAAAGGGGATTTGACGTTATTTTGGCTCAGAGCTCAACATGGAAGATATCTTTTGTTGAAGTCCAATCTATCTCCTTGATAATCCCAAAGTAATTAGCATACATCTTTGGCTATATGCTTTGAAGGCAGTGGCTGCGTAGCATTAGATTAAGTCAACTAAAATTAATCTTCTGTATTTAGTTATGTGTCCAATTTTAAAATCTAAAATCTGCCATCTTAATCCGACGTCTGACAAGCATTAAACTAACCACCACAATCACCACCTCATCAGCCTTATTTTCATCACTCTGTTCCTAATAAATTCAGACTAGAGCAGTTGGTCTAAAGCAACATTGCTGTATACATAACTACATTCTTGCATAATGTATAACTGCTCATGTTACATCTCAGTTGACTCTCACATTCACACACACACACACGCACGCACGCAGGACAGTTCACCATGAACCACTTTTAAAAGTTTGCATAGAAACCTTTAAATCCTGAATAAATGCTTTAAGTATTAAAAAGAATATGCTCTTAATAATACTGTTTGAAATTTGGGCTGATTGACAATGGCCACGACACAAAGTCTTTATCGTGCTTCATGAAAATGTGTCAAGAAATCTCCTTTCTGGTTAAGCGTCAGTGCTGCGTGTCAGTCGATGTACTGTGATAACCATCTGAAACCTTCCCCATAGCCTTGTTTTTTCAACACGCTGCACATGAAAATCTCCAGGGGTCGGACATTCAGCTCCTTCATAGAGACATTTCCCTGTCGGTAAAAAAACAGATAAATGAGGACACGTTCTTGAGGCACTATGACGTGTGCCCACACACAGAAAGAGCTCATGTTATTTATGTGAATTAAAAGAGAGGGTCTATGACACGCCTACCTTTCCGGTAACTTGACCATCAAGAGCAAAAGCTCCCCTCAGTCCTCCTTCACTGATGGCCTCAGGTCGGTCAATTTTATTACCCAACACCAACACTGGTACATTGACTATGGTCTCGTCTCCTAGGAGAGCCTGGAAACACAAGAGCAGCACATTCATCATCAAGCTACTGTTAACAGACAGCCGTCGGCGCTGCGTGGTGGCTTGTGAAAATTATGTTTAATCTTACATCGAGCTCAGTCTTGGATTCTGTGAGCCTGTCGTGATCTGCGCAGTCTACAAGAAAGACAACTCCATTCACAGCGGGCAGGTAGTTCTTCCACACTCTTCGAGCTGTGGTGAACAAAGGGAAAAAGCAGCTTGTGAATTAGCTGTCCTTGCAGCAATTTAACACAATAGTGAATGCCCTTCTCGGCCTTGTCGTGCAGCAGTTTTAAATAGGCTGGTGGAAATTTAATTGTATCCTTTATTACCTCTGTGTATAAATTGACACAATCGTCATAGAGTGGTATGCAGGTTCACAGGTCCTAATGTCTAAATGAATAGTTTTACTAAACAAACACCCACACAGCTGTTTCCAATTACTTTGGCTAATTAGACCTTCATTCAGGTTGAAGTTGGGTGGAGCTATGCTGGGAAGTACATGACGTCACCAAGCTATGAAATATTAGCAATAATAATGGTGTAAATTGTCCCACATTAACAGTTGCAGCAAAGCCAACAGAAGAGTGAGTGAGCGGTCAGTCAAGCATGTGTACACGCCCACGCAGTTTTGAGAAAAGGTCTAATCAGGTAACAGATGAAAACACCTGTTTATAAGCTGTACATTTTTTTAAATTACAGGACTTTAATTTGACTTTACAAGAAAAGTATGAGTTCAGAATTTAACCATGAGATTTATAATACTGTGATAATTATTGCTAAATTAACTTATAACCTAGAGGGGTAGCGCCTTCTTTCTTCATGTACATTTTCTGCAGCACTAGCACAACCTTCAAAAGTCTATTCAAATACTTTAGGCCCAGTAGGCTCATCAGGGCTGATTTGAAACTCCTAAAAATGTAATTACATATCAATGCTGCAGGGGCTACAGAGACACCATGTGGCAAGAATTGTGATTGGTCAACTTGCTTCGGTTTTCTCTATTTTGTGATTTTGCATCCCTCTTGTCCCTGCATTTTTTTAAAATTTTATCAAAAAATGTATTTAAGAATTTGAACACAACTACTTCTGCTGTGTACGGCAAACTACAGGTTAATCCTACACCAAATCTTAAATTATAGCGATAACTTCCTATTTCTATAGTTTGGCACTATTGGCAAAAATGGAGAAGGCTCTCACCTTGTACATGTCCTCCTAGATCAAATGTAGTAAATGTCATGCCGCCAATTGTCAGCTCTTCAGAAGCTTTGAGAAAAAGATTAAAATTCCTTTTTATTTGAGAGATCCCCCCCCGCACAGAACAACAAGGCTGGAAATTACAGTGTAACTCACAATACAACACTATCACAATATTTTGCCTACATGATGATAGCGGGTAATTCTGTGATTTGGCAGTGGCATATATTGCAAGACAGTCATCATCGTAACTAAGGAGGTAAATAAACCCCAAAATAGGTTAAATTATTTTCAAAAAACAATGACATGATTCTGTCTTTATTTACTGCATAATAAACTCACATGAATCAGCATGCACCACTTCACCCTTCAATAACAAGCTGACCCTTTTGTGTTCTAACACATCAACCCAGGATGGCACACTACCATCTGAATCTCTCCTTACTTGGATGCAGCGTTGGCACGTGCTGGCCAAGTCGGTCATCTTTTAACATGTGTAGGAGTGTTGTTTTACCAGCATTGTCCAGGCCCAGGAAAACCAGCTTCCCAGTTTTTTTGTACAGACCTGGAAGAAATATTTCACAAGTGTATCAGTAATGACCCTACTTAACCCCAGAGGTATTATATACATACATATAAACAATACATTAACAGTCACTCAAGTACTGTACTTATAGTTCTGAGAAACGTTTACTATCCTGGCTACATTTCAGAAAAAACAACTTACTGTGACTATGGTAGTTTGATTAAGCACCACCTGGAACATATGCATTTCAATACTGCCAACATGTCAATAATTTAACAACAAAAAGTAACTTCAAAGTGAGCTACTTTTTGAACAAGTACTGGTGGTATTGCTGCTTCTATTAAGTAGAAATTTTGAATACTTTTCCACCACTTTTAAATCGTTGCAAAACTGCAGACTTACCCAAGAACTGTAAAACACTACTAAATCCCCTGTAGATCCAGTCGAATAAAAATGACATCTTGACGGTCTTTGACTAAAACAAGAAAGAGGTCAGATTACTACTACATAATAATGCACTGGATGAGCAGCAAAACACTGTATTTATACTGTAAGTGAGGTGTTCATTTATTCATTTTTGCAATTGTTGAGGGCATGGCTTGTGATGATGTATTGGATCACATTATATTAGAACCACAGGTATAATTGATAACATTAAAACCGACTGCAATCCATTTAGGTAAGCTGCTCCCAGGGCCATGGCTTACTGGGACACTTACAGGGAAATAAATGTGTGTCACTTGTGCTTTTTCTGCTATGACAAGTCAAAATGTCTGCCGTGAAAAAGGTCTGTTATTGCATCACATTACATCACTCACTGTCCTAATCAGGATATCTGTGACGTAACACTACAGCTCCACCCACACGTGTAGCAGAGGTACTGTCACCTTTAAGCAATATGTAATGTTCACACAGCTTCATGGATGAAGTCATCCAAAAACCTCATTTCGTATTCGTTATTAATGTCTTCGTTTGTGATAATGAATCCAGGACAGCACGCAACAGGTCAGATGAAATTATTTGTTGGATATAACAACTCGTTAGCTGCATTATTATTTAATTAACAACGCTGGTTTCAGATAATCGCTATTTGCTATATTGTAAAATGGCAATTATTATTAATTGCCAACAGAACAATGTCCCACATTTAAAAAACAGTGACACATTTGTGGCCACGTGTCTATTAGTTACTGTATTTAGCTTGTTTCAAAGTGCTTAGTGAACCGAGATAACGATTGTAGCTCTTTAGCATTAGCATGCTAGCTATCGTTAAACCCTCTGTCACTTTCTAGTCTGATCTCAGGTGCGCCAAGGAAACGTTTAACGGACTGCGCTCCGGTTGGTTACTAACTGATCAACAGCACCGTGTGTTTTATTGCGTCTTTACGTGAAATAGTTTTGTTAGCTGACTTACCCCTCGGCACTGACCAGCAGCCGAGCACTGAGTAGTACTGGCGGTCTCCTTGGAAACTGTCAAACACAGTACCGCTTCTTCTTCTTCGTGTTTTAGAATTCGGTCGTCTTCTTCATTGTTTAACGGCGGTTGGCATCCAACTTTAATGGTGCATTACCGCCACCTATTGTACTGGAGTGTTGGCCGGAGATAATTAATTTAAACAAAAATCCAAATAAATCCTTTCTGCCACTCCTGTATGCTTTAATAATCTAAATAAAAGTGTACTAATGTCATTTAATGACGTACCCAGTAGCCTAAGTTCCTAAGTGCATTCCCTTGAAACCCTCTTTTGCCCTCTTTCATCTTTATCCTTTCCCTCTCATAGTTCTAACACTCAAACGCCACATGTTCCTCAGACTCAATACTATCACAAAATTCACACCTTCCTGATATATGCTTACCCATAATATGTAGACCTATGTACTTATTTAACCCAGTGTCCAATTCTTACCGTACTAAACATAATTTATTTCATTCGTTTCCTTCCAGTGACCCTACCTGTCCCAACCTTCTGTTGAATGCTATATCGTCTCCCTTTCTCCTCCGCATCCCAACATACCTGCCACTTCTTATTAGTTTTTGACCATTTGCACTTTAGCTTCTGCTTTACTTATGGAAATTGCTAATAGATTCCCGTTTACTGGCTTATTTTCCCAATCTACAATTTCATTCCCCTTCACCCCTACATGTCCTGGAACCCGTGTAAACTTTACCCTCACCCCCATCTGACAACCCTGTGAGTGAGTGAAGTTCCACCTCATATACTACACTGCTCAAAAAAATAAAGCACTTAAACAACACAATGTAACTCTAAGTCAATCACACTCCTGTGAAATCAAACTGTCCACTTAGGAAGCAACACTGATTGACAATCAATTTCACATGCTGTTGTGCAAATGGAATAGACAACAGGTGTAAATTATAGGCAATTAGCAAGACACCCCCAATAAAGGAGTGGTTCTGCAGGTGGTGACCACAGACCACTTCTCAGTTCCTATGCTTCCTGGCTGATGTTTTGGTCACTTTTGAATTCTGGCGGTGCTTTCACTCTAGTGGTAGCATGAGATGGAGTCTACAACCCACACAAGTCAGGTAGTGCAGCTCATCCAGGATGGCACATCAATGCGAGTTGTGGCAAGAAGGCTTGCTGTGTCTGTCAGCGTAGTGTCCAGAGCATGGAGGCGCTACCAGGAGACAGGCCAGTACATCAGGAGACGTGGAGGAGGCCGTAGGAGGGCAACAACCCAGCAGCAGGATCTGCTACCTCCGCCTTTGTGCAAGGAGGAGCAGGAGGAGCACTGCCAGAGCCCTGCAAAATGACCTCCAGCGAGCCACAAATGTGCATGTGTCTGCTCAAACGGTCAGAAACAGACTCCATGAGGGTGGTATGAGGACCCGACGTCCACAGGTGGGGGTTGTGCTTACAGCCCAACACCGTGCAGGACGTTTGGCATTTGCCAAAGAACACCAAGATTGGCAATTTCGCCACTGGCGCCCTGTGCTCTTCACAAATGAAAGCAGGTTCACACTGAGCACATGTGACAGATGTGACAGAGTCTGGAGACACCGTGGAGAACGTTCTGCTGCCTGCAACATCCTCCAGCATGATCGGTTTGGCAGTGGGTCAGAAATGGTGTGGGGTGGCATTTCTTTGGGGGGCCGCACAGCCCCTCTTTACCCCTATTTTTGGTACGCTGAAAGTGGACCCAGCTTGTCCAGACTGAGTGTCCTTAGAACCATCAATGTATGGAATCCGGTGTTGTTCAACTCCATTAGAGATAATCCCTCCTGGAAAATGTTCTAGAAATGTGACCAGCTTTATCAAACAAAGTTATCAGTGGAATAAATGTGAGGTAGCTCTTATAAAGGCTTTAGCTGAACAGGAAGTCTGGTTAATATTCCACTAGATAGTATTGAAATACATACCTTTGACTTAAATGTCCTTTTTCTTTACATATTTATACTATACTGCATGGTTAGATACTTTCTACATGATGCAAGTAGGCTAACATTGCATCATATTTGCATGTTCTCTCTTTATCCCAGTATAGAGAAGAAAAAAAAAACATTATAAGTGAGGTAGCTTATTTGGAAATTCATCTACCAAAATGGACTTCCAGTATTTATGTAAAATAAATTAGTTAATTTTCTCAAAATTGCTTTATTCTAGCAGTGGACTGCATTACCTTTCAGCCACCCAAAACAAATATGAACTTAAAATAGGTGAACACATCATCACTGATGTTGCTAATGAATTCAACAGCTTTTTCATACAGTCTGTTAACAACCTTGCATCAAGATTTCCATGCTGGAATGATATAGGCTTAACAACAGTAGACCTGCCTGAAGATCAAGATAATTAATTTCAGCTTAGGGAGGTCGGTCAGACATCTGTTCTGAAAGCTATACAGGACCTAAACACCACCTTTTCAAAAGATATTTTTAATTTAGATACAGCTTTTCTTAAAAAATATAGTAGTATTCTGGTCCAGCCTCTCACTAATTTTGTTATTATTTCCATTAAATCCGGGCAATTCCCAGACGGTTGGAAAAATGCTCTAGTAATACCGATTTATAAATCAGGAGATGACAAAATGTCTTGTAATTACAGACTTATCAGTCTTCTACCAGTTTTGTCTAAAGTTTTAGAGAAGATTGTCTCAGAACAACTCATGTACTATCTTGAGACAAACCAGTGTCTGAATCCTCTGCAATTTGGATTCAGGCACAACTATTCCACAGAATCTGCTACTTGTTTATTCATTGAAAATATCAAACAATCACTTAACAAGGGAAATGTAGTTGGTGCAGTATTCCTAGATTTAAAAAAGGCATTTGACACAGTAAATCATAACACTTTAATTTCAAAACTAGCTAAGTTTAATTTATCCAAACAGTCATTGTCCTGGTTCGAATCATATTTAAAAGGCCGTTAACAGTGTGTTGTGATTAATAATGTGAGAGCCACTTATCTTAAAATCAAAACAGGGATTCCCCAGGGCACGGTCTTGGGACCCGTACTCTTCAGTCTCTACATCAACGACTTGCCAGATGTAGTATGCCCAGATATAGGTCTACAGATGTATACAGATGACACAGTGGTATATGCATCTGGTAATACCTGTATTTCTGTGGCTGACAAACTAAATGCTTAACTTAAATATCATCTTGGCTGGCCTCATCTTGTTTAACTTTAAACACCAAAAAACAAATTCTTTGCTCTGCTTTTCGATTAAAAAAAAAACTACGTCTAACACAACTTTTGAACATAAAAATTAATGGGGAACTTATTGAACAAGTACCTGAAGTGAAGTATCTCGGAATAATTGTAGACTATCAATTGAATTTAAAAGTCATATCAAGAAAATCCGTAAAACCATGAAGGCCAACTTGAGCTGTCTTGTGATGATAAGAAACTGCTTGACTCTTGACTGTGCTTTTATATTTTTAAATTCTATGATCCTCTCACACATATCCTATGGCTTAACCACATGGTCCCAAGCTCATCAGTAATCAGTCAAAACCATAGAGTGTCTTTATAACCGAGCCTTGAAAATTCTGGACAAGAAGAGAATAAGGTATCATTACTGCCAAATTCAAAGTAAATATAAGATTTTAAGTTTTGCTAATTTTATCTCCCTGCATCTGGTTAAACTGGTCTTCAAATGCTTAAATGATGCTGCTCCACCACCGCTTTGCAAAACAATAACTAGACAGCAAAGTACTAGATCCATCACCCAATCAGTGTCAAAAGCCAATTGTATTATCCCTTTTCGAAGAACATCATTTGCCCAGGCTTCTTTTTCGGTAAAAGCGGCAAAATTATGGAATTCTCTGCCAGATCACTTGAAATGTATCCCGACATTAGCCTCCTTCAAAAAAAAAACACTAAATCGTGGTTAATTCAGGAACAATACTGCTCTCATATTTAGTCTTTACACGTTGCCCAATCTGTATATTTTTTTATCCTTTTTTATTTTCTTCCATTGTACTTCATTTTTTTTTGTTTGTTTTGTTAAACTGTATTTTTTAATCAAAAAGCCCTACTAGGGACAAGTGTCGTGAATTAGCTTTAGCTAAAAACACTACGATACACACATCAGATGTATGTTTTTGTATCTGTCCCTATTTAAATAAACTTAATAATAATAATTTATTGGCATTGCCCATAGGCAGTAGTGCAATTAGTTTTTTCCACATGAATTATTGGTTTGACAACTGTACAGAAATGGCTATGTGTGTCTTGTTTCAAAGACTACAGGCAGGCTTTTTCCATCAGTAAACCATTATACACTTCAGATCTATATGCTGTGGGTAAGGTCAGGTCTGTGATAATGACAATATATACAGCAGCAGTACAATCAATACATTATATAATAGCCTTGGATTTAGTGTGGTTTATTGTAATGTTCTGTCAAGCCTGAAATTATAGGATACTATCCAGTAGCATAAATGTAATATTGTGTCACAATCACACAAAAAGCAGTTTTGACAGCAACAGCATCATACATCCATGTGTGAACAGAGAAGGAAATGTGACATAAAATATAAATCCAATCAAATCCAGTTTGTGCGCTGATGTGTTGAATCAGATGAAGGAAGAAAGAAGTGAAGGAAGGAATGAAGGTTTCTAACCCAGCATTCTTACTTCTCGTAGTAGAACCATTTGTCGACTGAAAAACAAAAAGAAAAGCCTATGTGATTTCCATAGTGTAACATTATAGGGTAGCTACGATAAAAACAACAAATACATGTACAAAAACCCACCTGAACTTGGAATTGGATCTTCAGCTCCAAAAGCACATGCCTGTAAGAGTTAGTGAAATCATCAAATGTTGCTATTGTTGATTAACAAATGCACTCACGCGAAAGACTTGTGTGTAGCTTAGATGTTTTTGACTCATTAAATGCCATGAGAAATAATGTTGTACATGTTGGGGGGGTCTGTTTTCTACTCTGGACCATGATGTCATGAAATGCTGGTTTGTGTGAACTGAAAGAAACCACCTTTACCATTCCTCAGTCTTCTGCCACTTCGCTAACCATCTCCTTATGCCTGAGCGCTTGTGTGTTACCAGGTTATAGTGCACGCTGTTTTGTGTATCATCTGTAGTCTCATTGAGGAGACTAAGCCGCTAACATGAAATTGAAAATAAAACTGACTTACAGCCTTAACCACAGCCTCTGCATCACCAGCAGAGCAGCAGAAGGGACTATCTGAGACACTGGTGTTCATGCTAATTCAAGAAAGAGAAACAAAGGCAACAATTTCAGCTTTAAAACAATATTCTTTCAATATAAGCATTAGAAAGACCTAGAAGGGCACATATTCACAAGGTCACCATTTTATCTGCAGTAAGAAGGTATTTTAACAGTCTATTAACTGAGCAGCTACAGTACATGTTCTATCGTCAATGCTTGATAATTATCTCAAGTATGTTATGTTGAGTTGAGTTTTTCTCACCAATTTAACTCGCCAGCATTGGTCCTCTTAGAAATCAGTGCTTTCCAAAACTCATGGGTGCTCTTGACTGTTTCAATGGCAAAGTCCTAGAAAACAAAGACAGATTTTCTTCATCTCCTTACTCCAAGAAAACATCAACATACCAGGGACAAAATAAAGTAGATATGCAGAACAACACAGAAAAGATTAAGCAATCTACAAGCATTTGATCTCTCATTCTCCCTCTAAAAATGTTTTATACGTTCATATAAGTTCTCATTTTTCGGTTTGTAGTGGAGGTTTATCTAAATTTCCAAAATAGTTTGGGCACCAGTGTGATCCAAATGATCAGTTTTACCAAGTAGGATATAACCCAGATTTCAAGCTACCCTCGCTTACTCCAAATAAATCTGGTTGTATTCAAACTCAAATAATAATCCACTATATGTTACGTAAAACTCAAAATCTTACAATACCTCCATTAAAGCAACAAAACCCAGTTCGAAGTATAGCATTTATATTCATGCTTTAAAGAAAGACACTCCAGATAATCCCCTACCTTGAGGAGGAGGGGATTGAATGCGTGCTCACGGGGAATCAGGCTGCTATGATCATTCAATTGAAAAAATAGCAGTTCAGTTCATTTGTAGGTGTGTGTGTGTTTGTGTAGTCCAGTTCAATGGAGGACAGATGGCAATGCCACACCTATAAAGCTGGGGCAGGAACACAACATTTCCTGGAGAGTTACAAGAGAGTAGACTTCAGAGAGTCAACCAGGACAAGGAAGATGCAACTGAGCAGGTTGAAGAGCAAGTTAGCATATGCTACCCAAACCCACTCCAGGGATCAGCACACTTTCCAACAGTCTTTCGTTGCTCATTAAAGTTCACGAAGTCTGGCCAGTTCTTGGTACCACTGCTTCTCCGGTACTTCTATATGCATCTCACTTTCACTCCGAAGCCAGGATGCCTCAAAAACCAGATCAATTTGCCAAACATTCTCTTTCCTCTGAACCTCTCACTCCTCTGCTTTCCTCCATGCAGGAAATGTTTGTCCTTCCCTTCCCCCCCAGCTCACAAGTGCCTAATGTATCTCCTCCTGCTCAAACCCCATCCCCAGTCAAGAGCAAAAGGCCCCTCTGCTGCTCTTCTACCCCTCTCTGCTGCTACAGGTTGCTCATTAATTTGATAGAACTGATCCGAAACTATTATATCAGTAGTTGAAAAACATGTCTTAACATTTTCAAAATACAACACAGATACAGTGAATACAAGTTGTACCCTGTCCTTGAACTCTCCGTTGAAAGCAAACTGGTTTTCAGGTTTCCCATCTGGGACTTTGTATCTTTTGAACCAATCAACAGTTGCCTCCAGGTATCCGGGCTTAAGTCGTCTTACATCATCAATATCTGCAACATACAAACAACAAAGGGGAACTCTAAAATTCTGAATAACTTAACTAACCTATCTGATGGCAGCAACACAAAATCTTTGCAGGTTATCCGTACCGTTGAAGTCAGCGGCTTCAGGGTCCTCAGTATTGATCACAATGACCTTCCAGTCTGTTTCTCCCTCGTCAATCAAAGCCAGAGTTCCCAACACCTTCACTTGGATTATTTCTCCTCGAGAGCACACCTGAGAATTGAGATTCATTTTTGAAAAAGCTGCAATGAGTTGTCTTTTCAAAGCCCCTAATTACAGTTGTTCCAGTACCTTATTTCCTATGTCACATATATCAATAGGATCGTTGTCTCCACAGCATCCTGTGTCGCTGTCCTTGTGATTGGGGTCTTCCCACGTCTGTGAGAAGAGAAAGTACATGTTTAAAGGAGCACAGACATGGTCTGGTTTCCTGTCGTTTGAATGTTGTAGGAATAGGACTTGCCTGTGGAATAGCTCCATAATTCCAGATATAGCCTTTGTGAGGAAACACATTCGCTACATAACGAAGATTCCCCTTCTTCATATCTTGTTTCAGTGGATTGAGAGGATCCTTGGTGGCAATCTGATAAACAGACGACATATTAGCTAAAATGGTATAGTCTGTGTTATTCTGTCATCAAGGTGTATCAAATTCTGAGCTTAAACATAGCTCACGATTTAAGAAGTGTGAGTGTACATGAATTAACATAATACACAAATAAACTGATCATTTGCAAAAGTACATATATATATATACCTCCATCTTTGCATTTGTCCATCTTGGAACCTCCACAATAGCGTGAAAAATATTCTGCAAGATGATCAGAAATACAGTTTTGGTAGCGGTACATTTTTGTACAAAACAATTTTTCACATATGACCTGTAACAGACACACAATTGACAACTTTTATTTCAACTTAAAGACTGAGCGGTGTTACAGTATCAGTTTCTGCCTAAACTAAAGACACAATTACTAAAGTGAGTAATGGTAGCACACTGAACATGCCCTCCACGTGGTACAGGGAAAAACATCTGCACTACTGCAGACAAATTGGCATTGGCACTAGCGTTGTCACTCTCCTAAAGCCAAAATATTCTCAATATTGCTTAATGTGACTAATTGGAGTGCATAATCATACTTTTGAAACAAAACATGGTTGGTGTACAACAACTGGTTTGCAAGAAAAAGTATTTTAATGAACATACAGCCCCAGCCGCAAGCAAAAATCTGCAGTATTAACTGTGACATGCGATGCTCACCTCTGCCTCGTTTGCGTAGATGGGTACGTCGTGGAATGGAGAGATGTATTCGCCCCCAGAGTTTCCTATAGAAAGGAATCATGCATTTTAGAGCCAAAATAACAATCCAACACTATGAAGAAGTCATGAAGCTCTACAATTAGTAGTAGTTAGTACATTACAGTACACAAGTTAATCAAGCAACTATTACACTATGCACAAACCAGTGGAGGGAACATTACTCACAAACTAGTTAATTTTAAAGAGCTGTGCTTACTGAAAAACACCCTGTACTCTTGAGTGTTCGGCCTGCCCCTCTCCTCAATGGTAAAGCTCATGTCTGCGGTTGGTTTCAAACTCTCCCTCTGTGGTCTGTGCGCTGATTCAGGACTAAGAAGATCCTGACTGACAGTCCGTCATTGAGACCGAGGGAGCAGGCATGCGCATTTCTTAAGCCAAGGGTTAGAGAGCTGGCAACTGCCTGCATGTGACAACAGGGCTGCTGTATATGAAGAGTGTAAAGGCCAGGTGACAGAACCATGGCGGCTCCTGTATCTTTACTGAATTCTAATCACATCCAATAGTGGCATCTCAAACTAGCAAGTGTAAACAAACCTCTAAGAGGAGCAGACTTTGCTCAGAATAGTAATCAACAACTAATCCTTCCTTACTACCACTTCTCCATGGCTGCCACATGGGTTCTACGGCATGGATGTGATGTTTTGTACCTTCATCGTGTGTGAAGTGATTTGTTTTCTATTTCCCTCTTGTAAGCTACTGGCTCTTGAGAGCTCTTTTCAGACAAAGACAGATGGAGCTGACTGGCGTAAGCTGTAAACCAATTACCAATGCAGGATTAGGTGGCGCACCCATGTTGTGACTTCTTGCCTCTCGAGTTTCCCTGAAACTATTTGATAACATACTTATGGGCCTATTTTTTAGGAGCAGCATTATGAATAAAAATGTGTGACTTATCTTTTCTTTCCCTCTAAAATCCATCACTTGTATTTTGATGGTAATGAATGAAATTTTATGGTACTTGCCATGGTACATGCTGAATAATACTGTAACCAAGTGCCGTGTGTTTTTTGTGTGAAAATTTTTATATCAAAGTAAGACACATAATTGCAACTGAAATACTTTTAATTTATGATACAAGGGTAGCTAATAGAGAAGCTAATAGCAGTGATGACAATGTAGTTTTCTTGTGGTATATATAACGAAAGCAGTGATGGTCACAGCCTGGGCAGCAGAGAAGTCACGTGACATAGTAAGCCTGCCACCTTGCTCTCCTTGCCAGAATACATTCTTCTTTGTCTGACTTGTAGGCCAGGAGTTTGGCATGCTACCCAACAGGCATTTTAAAACATATTTTACATAGAAAAGGGATTAAAAATATATATATATGCTTTACATATCCTAATGCTACCTCCCTCTTCTATCTTGTTATGAGCCACAAAGGCTCAACCAGTGAGCCCAAACATCAGCTTAAGTGAACTGGACTCACCAGCGTTGCTATTTAAAGAATTCTTGAAAAGCCTGAGCAAAGTACTTTGAATTACTGTACTGTGGGACAGTCTCCGTCATCTGCAGCCTCTATTATAGACGGAGGATTTAAGAGCTTTATCAGTGCTCATGCTGCTATCTGTACTTTCTCTGTCACCTTCTAAATTAAGTCTCTTGCAACTGGTGACCATATAGTTTCAGAACATTTTGCTTGTCTGTCCAATGGATTTTGTTGCCTGTTATGAGAGTGAGGCCGACATAGATCCCTGTGCAGGAACCCAAGAGTGAACTATAGTTTAAACTATAGTCCTTCTGTTTTAATAGTCTGTTAAACCATTATTTTAGGCGTAAGTCTACACACAGTGTCAAGCTAATGTAATGAAAAGAAATATTAGTAGCAGTTCTAAATGAAATCTTACTTAAGAGAACATTTCTGTAAACTAACAAAAAATAGTAAAAATAGTCTCTGCAATCAATCTGTCACCCAGTGAAAATTTATCACACAAGACTACATAGTTTCCAGTGTATCTTTAATTGAAAAAACCTGTTTACACTATCAAAAGTAATAAATAAGCCATTGTCTCATTTGACACAAAAACATGACAAATGAGGTATAAAGATGGATTGATTTCATTTCCAACCATCAACTTGAGCTCTTTGTAGTTCATACAAGGAGGACAAAGAGGCCGCAGGGTGTGGTCGCCAGCAGGACTGAAAAACTCAATCAAGGACGCCATCTTTACACACTCAGTCTGTTTTCTTGTCTCTTGTAAACCCGTTGTGATGTCTTCAGTTCAGTATCTTCAAGTATTGTGTTTTTTCATCTCTCAGGCACATGGAAGCATCCAACTGAAATAATTAAAAGGCACACCAGCATGCAGTCTGTAGGTGTTTTAGGATAAAATGTCAAAACTGTGGAGAGACTGCAGAGCAGACTGAGTGTTTGAGTCCAATGGGTTTGACTTCAAGTTTAGCCACTTCAGTGCTGGCATGTGAGACAACTTCTCCACTGGTATTTCTGTGGGACAAGATTAAAAAACAGTGTAAACATAAGCTCAAACCAAGCCATATAAGAAGATACAACCCCTTCTTTCACACATACACAAATATATTGTTATTACCGGTGATGCGATTTCCCTCCAGGTTAATCCTCTCCAGTGTGGCTATTTCAATAAGCTTATCAGGGAAGATGGAGAAGCCGTTATTAGCCAGATTGATGCTGATCAAATGCTCCATTTCTCCCACAGCGTCAGGCAGTTTGGTGAGAACATTGCCTTGCAGGTCCAGTTCTGGAAGGTATTTCAAGACACAAGTAAATCGAAGGGTCCCTTGTCTGTTCTTTCATCACGGCATGACGTCAACATTTGTATGAGGTAAACAGCATGCAAGATCAACATCATCCAACACAATCTTTTCTTGAAGATTTAGTCCATGCATCAAATAGCTGCAGTGTATTATCCACTACCTCTCAGCTGAGTGAAGGTAGAAAAGAACTTGCTGGATATGGCCTTCATCTCATTGTCAGCCAATGTGATAATGCGGATGTTTTCTGAGACACTCCTCAGGACCTTGAACACACCGTCTGGGAAAGAAATGAGCTTGCAGTTTGACAGGTCTGCGGAAAAGAAGAAGAATGATTATGAGTCTATGAAGCATTAACAAAACAGGTGGAGGATGCTGAATACCCATGATTAACAAACACTTTGGGATTTAAAGTTATTGTTAGTTGAGCTAACCAATGTAAGCCTGTCACCACCTGCTGGTGAAATCTGAAATAGCATTAACCACAATCTGATGTATCCTGAGAAACTACAGAAAGCGCGAGGGAGAGACAGAGTGAAAGATGTGTGAAGGGAGTCTTACCCAAACTGTCTTTCCCATCCTCGACGGTTGCATTAATCCTCCGGGCCACATTTGCGACTGCCTCCGCCATTTTTCTGCCGTAGCTCTTCCTAGAGTTTCTACCAAATAGTTTCTATAAATTGACACAGAGGTACTGACATCATTGACTTATGTAAGTAGCAATGCAACAAAAATAAGTTAAATGTTTAACTTAAATCATTTGAAAATACTGCATTACAAGCAAAGGTTTTCAAATGTACAAAAAGTACTAATTTTGAAGAATAATACCTACTAACTGGAGATATGTTGAGGATTTGTATGCTTTCAGATCAGTTGAAGCATACATATAGGCACTCTGTAATCAGTGCCTGTACCTACCAATATTGTACTCTTTACTCCACTACATTTATTTGATAACATAAGTTACTAGTTAATTTACAGATTCAAATTATTAATACAATATATAAATCAACTAATACATTATGATTTATTATTATCGATTAAGCTACCAAGCAGTAGGTATGTAAAGTAGTTAAAGTTAACTTCACCTTTACCACTTGCAACATTAAAGTGATAAAGACATTAATGTATCACTAATTATAATCCATTGTAATATAGATTATCAATGGGCCATTTTGTATAATGAGGACTTTTGTTAGTTTAAGTATATTTTGATGCTAATACTTTTCTATTCCGGTAAGAGTTTAAATGCAGGACTTTTGCTTGTAACAGAGTATTTTTACACTGTGGTATTGCTACTTTTACTTCAGTAGAAGATCTGAGTAACTTCGATCACGTCTGTCTGTAATAATACGGGTTAATTTGCTGAAATTGAATGAAAAATCTGAATCTGCCAGTCAACGCAAACGTTATACAAACGCAATGAAGGCACTAAGCCTCGCAAACATGAGTAATGAGCCAGTTCCTGAACATTTTATTAATCTTAGTAACTTCTAATTAACTTGAGTTAACGTTAAAACCAACGTAAGCGTGGGTAATTTACTGCACCCAGAATATCGATGGAGTAACACATTTCCTTCCCTTATAAGGGTCAGTATCATTATTAAATAAGCTTTATGTCTACCCCAGCCCTACACTAATATAAACTCTGCCTGCTGAGCTAAAGATAGCCATTATTTCATTACCGTTTCATTAAAACAACACCAAGAAGCCACTTACCCAGACTAACGTTAGAAGCTAAGGTTACAACGCCTGACAGCTGAGTTCGCTAGCCAGCTAACGTTAGCTTTCAGCAGCTCAACCACAATCACATTTGGTGAGTGTGTATTTTTAGCCCCCAGAGAGGGCAGCTGAATGTTGAGATATTCATTAGAAAAGTCAGACCCATTAGCAGCGCCTCATATATTAACGTTAAACACACTTTTGTAAAACGCATGCTAGGCTACTAGCAAACTAGGAAATAGTTTAACAACCAATTCATAAGTATCAGTCCTGCGCGTTCAATTTGCAGACGAGGTCAATTTAAGCAGAGCCCTGAATTTAAGTAACAGAATAACTTAGGCAGTAAAAAAAACCCCAATAACTTCACTTATTAAGTAGATAATACTTAAAGTAATACTTTTCAGTCGGTGAATTGCGTGACGGCATGCTAATTTGGTCACCATATTAAAAAGTGTCATAAATTTGAATTCCTTTTTAAAAAAAATTGGAATATTTTGCATTTTGCATTGATTTGCCTATTAAAAGATACAAAAATATAAGGACTTACTTTTTTCCCAGAATATTCTTCTCAACTTTGACTCTGAATATATTTTGAATTTAGACCTATTTGCTCCAGACTAGGAAGTTAAATGTTGTCTTACCTCTGAGTCCTCGTCAACTAACTTATTCCCATTTTCACCACTGCCATGACCATGTCTCTGGCAAATTCCTGGTTAGTCAGTGTATTTTCAAAGGATTTCAATACAATGAGCTCTCTGGCTTCAGAATAATAGAACTTAGTTTGCCATTGTTACAACTAACTGCTACTTTACAGTATTTACTGGATATCCCTGTACTATTCAGTGCTGTATTCTTATTGTGGGGGTGTATTTGGTTATGACTCACCATGGATGAAACACTAAAACCAGAAAAGTCCACCTGTTTTGGTGTGTCAGTTAGTTTGTATCACACACAGTAGTTCCAGGTAAATTTGCCAGTGGACTGATTGATGACATGTGTTGTGTTTTGTGGATATGTTTGCAAGTATGTAACAGCATAAACCAAACCAGGCAGCTTTGCAAAAGCTGTGCTATTTGGGTATCGTACATGTCATATCGTAGGCTACTTTAAGAAATATGGCTATATTTTTCAACAAAACCCCTTTCTTCATTTAAGAAATGAAGCAAGTTTTAAAACATGAAATGTTGTATAAAAACAAGCAGCCAAAGAAGAACTGCCTACATTAAATAACATGGCAATATAGTGATTTAAACAAGGAAAAATGTGATCAGATGATAAGTAAACATGATTATAGATCGCACAAGGCAACCGATTCCAGCTTTTGGTAGACTACTTGACAGTTTGAAAATATTTGTTTGATACCCAGCCCCAGTGCTGAAAA